TGTTTTTAACATTGAGCGTTCCACGTGGGCTTCATCTAGCACTATCTCATTTGATTTTTTTTTCCTTCCACGATACTCTTAGCAGTCTCCTAAGAAACCACATTTCTGTTGCTTCTATTTTATTTTCACTGTCTTTAGTGAGTGTCCAGCATTCACAGCCATATAGAAGGGTTGACCAAACGTAGCATTTCAGGACTTTCATTTTGGTGTTCATTGAGATGTTTCTATTTTTCAGGATTGGGCTCATTTTATTGAAAGAAAGCCTTAGCCATTGTAGTTCTCCTTTTTATTTCTGTGGAACATTTGGCGTCAGATGTTATCATATGTCCACTGTTTTTTAAAAAAATGGAGACACGGCAAGAAAGCACTGAGGTCGCGAGCTGGTCTACATGATTCATGACTGACCACAGTTTGTTTCTAGTCTCAAGCCTTTACCAGTGTACCACTAGTCAAGATGGGAGTCGGTGCTATCCCTTTATACCGCCAGCCCTCCTTTGCCGCTAACTTTTTGCTCGTCCCAAGGCAGGCGGTATAACGTGGTTTGACTGTAATATATATATATATATACATTTTGTATTAACTGTGACTGGACATATACACATCTCTATATTTATAATGTGAAACAATATATATACCCATAGCTGTTTGTTTTGCCCGTCTTAGTCAATCAGTTTTGTCTTTACAGATTTGTGTGCACGTGCACGCATTATTATTTTGACATTATCATGTTGCCAGTGCCATTTTTTACATTGTTGTGTTATCTTTGTTTGCACTGCTAATAAATACTATTCCTCAAAATAATACTACTATCATTTTCCTATTTCTATTACTCTTTTGCATACAACTTTGTGGCATTTTTACTTGAGTGGTTCAGGCTACCAGACTCGTAACCGTGAGATTGTAGGTTCGTGGGAACGAGGTTCAGCCTGGTCAGACATTTTGTCCTTGAGAAAGGCACTGTAGGTCTGTATACGTGAAATGTAAGGCGTGCTGACAAAAGGAGTTACTTCTCTCAATCCACAAATGGAGATATTGTCCAAAAATCAACATTAGGGTCTAATTTGTAGACTTTCTATTGATGCCACATTCTTTAACCATAACCTGTCTTTTATTGCTTCATACTTATAAATTGTAAAAACTCCACCTATAAGCATGATATATATTACTTCCTTAAGGCTTAAATCGGAGAAGTAACTCATTTTGTCAGCAGGCTTCACAAATGTCCCAATTTGTGTTAGTCATATCGGAGATGGACCGGACATTAAATTCGGATGTCGGGCCTCATAAATAACCTTCTAGTGTTGCAAGATCAGCCAAAATTGTAATCGATGTCAATGGTTGTAGTGGTTAGGCACTTTGCTGTCACATGCAGGAGACCTGAGTTTGATTCCCGAGCGGGGAGAAATTTTCATTGAGCTGTCCGCGTCGTTTTATGCAAGAAAAATTCTGAAATTATGCAAACTAAGCCCAAAAATGTGAAATTATGATACAGGAAAATAATCAGAAATTATGCAAAAAATGATAAAATTTTGCTAAATTATGCGAGGTGCATAAAACCACGGGGACAGATTGAGTATCTCTGTCTTTGTGCTGGGATGTTGGATCCCTCTCAGCCTGGGTTGGCGCTAACAAGCAGAATAGGCAGCTTGCTCCTAAAACATTATAGATCGTGTCCTGCCTTAAAAAGAAGAATATTATCGTAGTGGGGACTTTTTCTTTCTTAATTAAAAAAATAGGCAAGGTGAAGAGAGGTAGACAGTGGGTGATTTACAGATGCTCTATAGTGTGGTTTGCTCCTTCTTTCATATCAAACATTTATAACTCTCCTTATCAAGTCTCTCATCCTACGCTCATTCTTCTCTGTGTATATTAGGCTTACTCTTTAGTAACACCTCTAATCTCAGGCACATATATGCCCTAATGATTGTTTAATTGTGTCACAAGTGCTGTTAAACTCTTACTAAAACTAATAAAACTTAAGAGAGGTAGAAAGGTTGGAGGGTGCCTGTGGTATGTCTTACTTCTTTATTTTCCCTTTTCTCTTTGTCTGTCTTACTTTTTCCCAGCACTAAATGACCATCATTATGTCAATGTGCGTCTCTTTACGCAAACAAACGAATCTGGGGGCTCTCGTGGTCTTGAGGTTAAGGTGTTGGCCTCTCATTCAAAGGTCCCGGGTTCGAATCCGGGTAGCGACCGAAACATTTTCTTCTCTAAAATTGACTCCTTTCACCTCCTCTCCTGCTCTCTAGCAATGTTCTGTTGTCTGCTTTCAATTCCACTTTCTGCCCCCACCCCTTCACCTCCTTTGCCCCCTCCTCTGGGCTCCTGACTCTTTCTGCAGCCTTTCTACTGCTACTCCTTGGCTTCTCCTTACTGTTGTCTTTCTGCCACACCCCTGATCTTCTGGTAGGAAAGATCTACACCTAGCCTTCTCGGACAAGGGCGAAAAATCTCGGAGGGCCCGTGTGATGTTGCGCACGTTAAAGATCCCTTGGTGGTCTAAAATCGATAAGAGTAGGCTTCGGCCGCCACCCGGGCAAAATTCAAAATTTCCTACCAACTGAAAATATTAGGTGTGTCCCGCGCGCTCATATGACCTATGCAGTTGCGAGCGCCGCAAAACACTTTACAAAAACAAACAAACAAATCTTTTAATGGGATTATGTTTTGCGGGTGCTCTGATGTGTTTTGCTCCTTCTTCTCTATCAAACATCTATTCTCCTGATCTCTCTCCCTTCTTTCCTATCAAACACTATATTATTGCCCTGACCTCTCCTTTTTTTTTTTTTTTTGCGAGTGGCGTCGGTAGTCTAGTGGTTAGGTCAGGCTACCGGACTCGCAATCATGAGATTGTGGGTTTTGGGGGCTCGAGCATCAGTTCAGTCCGACGTTGTGTCCTTGTTGGGACCGGCACTTTGCACGAATTTCCCACTTGGCCCGGTCCTTTCGGAAATGAATGTTAAACTCGGAGGTCCCGCCTCTTAAATGACCAGAAAGTGTTGATACCTATGCCATTTCACCTATTCTTTTTTTGTGTTTATTCTCCAACTGAACAAAGCGGAGTGGGTAGAAAATCTTGGACTTGGATAGGCCTTATCAAATCTGTTAAGACTGTACATTCCAACTCGCAGTTTAAGGTCATCAGCCGACAAAAAGAAATTTATTTTACCATCAATGAAACTTAAAACAATGGGTGAAAGGGAATTTGAATACCAAGGCCCCAAGATCTGGAATGCTTTGCCAAGTACTTTAAGAGAGATCAAATCTTTTGATTTGTTCAAATGTCAACTAAAGTCGTTTCTGTTTTTAAATTAATAAGATGAATATTTGGAATAAATTTCTTTTGGTCAGAACACAACGTTTTATGTTACTGTTGTACGTTGTACTATATTGTAAAGCGCTCAGAGCCTGTGTACTTTAATCGGGGTTGAGCGCTACATAAATGTAATTTATTATTATTATTACTACTACTACATCACACTCCAAGATGTTGTCAACAAATAGGGCTACATTGGTAGCCTACAATATTTAAAAAAAACCTGTCAAATTTAATCATTTATCTTTTATGCCCCTATCTACACAATTTACATCATTTAGATGGTGTCATATAGGAGCTGGGCTGCTTTGACACTGCCAGTCACTGAGTCAGGGCCAACTCAGACAGAGATGGAACCAATGTGTGATCGAACAGACAGGGATATTCAAATTCGATAAAAATTTCAAAATGGGCCGAAAAATGCAGATTTCTTTAATTTCATTATTTTGACAAGCACCTGATTTCACCAGGATGCCTCACATTTTAGGCCAAAACTGAACGTTCACTGAACGTGCATGTACCATGGGAATAGCAGTACGGGGCGGAACGGGCTGGGGAGAGTTGGAGAACAAAATAAAAGCATTGCTGTTCAGTGAACAAACAAGACATTGCTGGATTGATTCTACTGTAAAGGACATCCTCAGTGACCACAATGTGACCCTCCTGGAAGCCACTCTTTAGTTTTAGTAAGAGTTTTACAGTACTTGCAACACAATAAGGTCATATAAGGGCCGAAGATTAGATGTGTCACAATAGAGTAGCAAACATCAAAAAGAAGGAGGGGAGATAGAGACAATACGTTTTTTATAGGAATGAAGGAGCAAACCACACCCGAGCACCCGCCAACCACCCACTCTAAACCACTCAACTCGCAGCTGGAAGACAATTCAATGCCTCAAAATTACAAAGTTCTGACATTATTTGGCTGTTTTGAGTTACTAAGACCATGAGGTCAGAAACCAAATGTTCTTTCCGCTTTATCAAAAATCGCAACATTATTCGGAATTGTTATCAAAATGTTCAAATAATTGCATTAAAAAAAGCTTGATATGTGTCACGACGCAGTGGAATCAGGCGCTTGTAAATTTTTTGTGCGTGTGGAGTTATTGGTATCATCTTGAAGCTTGTTCACTTGTTCTGCTTTAAATGAAAAAAAAATATCCATTTATTTTTAACAAATCAAGATGTTGCTGATTGATGGAGGTAGGGTCGCCTGGTGTTAGAGGTAAAATTAGCGAGAAAATGGCCGCCAAAGTTTAGTTATTTCCTTAGCTTGAGAGTCTGTGGAAACTGAAAATTTATCATTTTTATGCCTTTAATCAACATTTTTCAGTCAAATCCACACAGAAATGTCGTGTTCTTTGAAGGACATGGGAGGCTTTGAGCCAAAAACCAAAAATTCAATAAAATTTTCCAATTCAGCGGAAAAATGTTAGTGTCTTCACTTTCATTATTTGAACGAGCGCCAGATTTCACCATGCTATCCCACATATGTTGAGAAACTCCAACATTTTTGCGTCAAATTTCTCAAAACTAGATACTGGGTAGATAGAACTTTGTAATTCTGAATTACGAACAGTTTCTCCATGCAACAACACGCGTATCAACGGAAAAGAAAAGGAAAAGTAAACAACACATTCATTATATCTGCCTTCACACACACTCTATGAGAAAGGTCTCCTTAGGGTTGGTAGCATGACTTTTATTTATCATCATCTTTTTTAAAAGCAATTTTCATATCACAGAATAAAAGCTAAATTGAGTTGTTGAGAAAGAGGAGCACAACACTCTTCAGAACATCTCTAAAATATTATAGTAAAAGAGACAATCCCCATTCTCCTGCCAACTAACATGCACAATGAAAATAAATCTTCCATCCACCCTTGTCATACCCAATCCCCAACTTCAAAAAAATTAATTTGAAAAATCTTTCGGATTTTACAGAACAAAAACTGAAGCCACACATGATAAAAAAAAAAAAATGTTTAAACGAGCAGCCTTGTTCTTTAGAGGAAACTTATGTTGATACATTATAATTTACATAGAGGCACATTTTGCAACAGCATGAGAATAACAAGAATTCTCTACGGTACATCTTTACACTTGTATGCAGTGCAGGAAACATTGTAGCAAACGCAATACATCAAGACACTCCCTTTTCAAAGTATCCTATTATTATAATGAATAATATTCACTATTTTTAGAAAAATTAGTTTGAAGCAGTTTGAAAAGGTTGCCAAATTCTAAAGTGGAGATATAGGTAATTTTGTTGAACAAACTAGAGAATATTCTTTAAGTTTAAGAAATATTTCTTATGATAAAATAATAATTAGCAAGAAACATTCCTCTGGCAAATTTCTGTCAGATCATCAATTTGAAAAACACAAACTGAATGAATCAGTAACAGTAATTAAACTGCTGAGACTAGACAGCTCCGTTGAAACAAGTTCCACAGTCATTGTGTTTTCAGCAAACTGGTACAGGTATTTCTTAACTTAGATCTTTCCATAAAATTTAACATTCAGGGGTTTACTTACAACAATTTTTTTTACAAGAATGTTAGTCTTTATTTTTTTTAAACACGACTGACCCAATATAATTAATTAAGAGCCATTGCCAAAAGTGCATAACTTTTACTTTTTGTATTTATTAACCTGAAAAGATTTTTTAAAAACCTCAATAAAAAAAATATGGACAAAGGCCTGGTCCTTTGAAGCTAAATAAGTGGACTCCGCTGTATTTAATGATAAAATTACGTATTATAATATTGATTAATTTAGAGTGCAAGCACACAGAGCAGGAGTATGTACTATACAAACAATGTTTATTATTATTTAATTATACAAGTCACAGCAGGTTAGCTTAGTTGCCACATTTGGCCTACTCTTTACTGTAAAATCTCTCAGTAAAAATAGACAAAAGCCTGTTCTTTTGAAGCTTAATAAGCGGACTATGCTGTATTTAAAGATGTCACAACAGAGTAACGTAATTGCTAGTTTGGCATATTCTCTTAAGTCTCTCAGTAGAAATTCTTGGGCCTGGTTCGTTGAAGCTAAATGAGTGGACTATGCTGTATTTTTAAATGTCCCACCAGGATTACTTAATTGCTCTAAATGCTATAAAATCTCTCAGTCAGTAGAAATGGACAAAGGCTAGGTTTGTTGAAACTAAATGAGAGGACTATGCTCACTACGCTGCATTTCTAAATGTTACACTAGGATTGCTTAATTGCTCTAAATGCTCTGAAGTCTCTCAGTAGAAATGGACAAGTCTGGTCCTTTGAACCTAAATAAATGAACTATGCTGTACTTAAAGATGTCACAACAGAGTAGCTTTATTTCTAGTTTGGCTTATTCTCTTCAGTCTTTCAGTAGAAATGGAGTAAAGCCTGGTTCGTTGAATCTAAATGAGTGGACTACGCTGCACTTTTAAATGTCACACCAGGATTACTTAATTGTGAGGTGCACTGACAAAATGAGCTACTTTTCACTACCCACAAATGGAACATTGACCAAAATCGGCACTAAGGTCAAATTTGTTGATTTTCTTTTGATGTCATATTCTTAAATTACAACATGCCTTTTATTATTTCATAATTCTAAATTGTAAAAACTTTATCTATGAGCCCGATGTATCTATTTCCATTGGGCTCAAATACAAGAAGTAACTCCTTTAGTCAGCACGCTTCACAATTGCTCTAAATGCTATAAAGTCTCTCAGTCAGTAGGAGTGGACAAAGGCCTGGTTCGTAGAAGCTAAATGAGAAGACTACGCTGTATTTTTAAATGTCACACCAGGATTGCTTAATTGCTCTAAATGCTCTAAAGTCTCTCAGTAGAAATTCTTGGGCAGCGGCTTGCAGATCATGCTCTCCAGACACTCAAACACGGTGTGCGGGTCCTGGTCGGCATTGACGTGCTGGCCGTCCAGGTAGAAGTCGGAGAGCTCCTCCACATAGGCGAAGTACTGGGACAGGAGCTTACGCACGTTCTCCTCGCCGTCCTTCGGGTTCTTCCACAGCCTGTCCTTGACCTGAGTACACGACACAGATAGAGTATCATATTATATTGTAAGGCATTGTAGTGAAATCAGGCACTCGTCAGATTAATTAAATGTGGCGTCGGTGGCCTAGTGGTTAGGCTCTTAGACTCGCAACCGTACGGTCGAGGGTTCGAATCCCATCAGGGGCCGGACGTTGTGTCCTTGGGAAAGGCACTTTACACTAATTTTCCTCACTTCACCCAGGTGGGAATGGGTACCCGGCTATAGACAGCAAAAGATCTTGTCAGTTTGTTAGTGTTTGAGTGCTTAATCAGCTGCTTGCACTGTATGCTTTGTGGGAAGTTTCGGAGTGTTATATGGTCTGCTGGGGTAATAATATAGTGTAAAGCGCACAGAGCCTGCTGTTGAGCGGGGATATGCGCTATACAAATGCTATTTATTATTTATTATTTATTATGTGAGGCATCGTAGTGAAATCAGGCGCTCGTCAAAATAGTGAAATCATAGAAACTGGCATTTTTCTGTCCGTTTGGCAATTTTTATCAAATTTTTGCTTTTTGACTCAACACCTTAAAGATCTATTTAAAAGCACAATTCTGTATGGATTTTACTGAAAAATGCTGATTTACAGCACAAGAATGTCAATTTGCAGTTCTAAAGACTCTCAAGCTTAGGAAGTCGCCAAACTTTGGTGGCCATTTTCTCACTAATTTTACCTCTGAAATCAGGCGATCCCCACCTCTCTCAACCTCAAACATCTCAATTTCTTTTCATGACAGATGAGTATTTTTTCACCTAAAGCAAGACAAATGAGTATGCAAGCTTTAAAATGATACCAATAAGTCCACATGTCCAAAAATTGATGAGCGCCTGATTCTACCGTGTCCTGACATAAATCAAAGATACCTCCATTTTGGCAATTTTTATCAATTTCTTAGTTGTTTTTGGCTCAACACCTTTTATCTCAATTAAAAATACATTTATGTGTTATTATTTCTGAAAAACGTTGATTTGATGCTCAAAAAAAATTTTTTTTCACTTTCCAAGGACACTCATGCTTTGGGAGTCACCAAACCTTTGCGAAAATTTTCTTGCTTATTTTAAGGCTGAAACCAGGTGACCCCCACTTCCTTCAATCGCAAATATCTTGACTTTTATTCAAATTAATTGAGTATTTTTTTTTCATCACATGATAGAAAAATGAACAAGCTTTAAAATGATATCAATAACTCCACATGCCCAAAAATTGACGAGCGCCTGATTCCACTATGTCCTGACAGATAGAGTCAAAGCCCTCATCCTGAATTATCTTAATTGTTTCAATGGAGGCGTAAAAATTATTAATCTTATATTGAAAAATAGAAAAACTACTAAATAAAGGAGGTACCTTAAAATTACAAAGTTCTGACATTTTTCAGCCATTTTCAGTTAATGAGACCATGAGGTCAGAGACCATATGCTCTATCAACTCCACAAAAGTCATAAGATTATTCAGAGTCGTTATCCAGATGTTCAAAGAACTGCATTGGAAAAAGCTTGACACGTTGTGAAACTAAAAATTTTTTACATAAAATTTCTCAAAACTAGGTGCTGAGCAAACAAAACTTTGCAATTCTAGGGTCATCATCTAGTGGCAGGCATCAGCGATCATGGTTCTTCATTCATTCCTTTGCTCGGATGCTCTTAAAAAAGCTATGTTTCCTTGATCTTTCCCTGTTACCCATTTGTTTAGATTCCCTAAGTAGGTTGCTATGGGCCTACCCCTGCCTTGTTTGCTTTCTATTTCACCAGTGAGAGCTTGATGTTCAAGACCTTTATGTCTATTCAGGTGTCCCCAAAACAACATTTGTTGTTTCCTGATTGTTTTTAACAGTGAGAGTCCCATGTGGGCTTCATTAAGCACTACCTCATTTGATTTCTTTTGCTTCCACGATATTCTCATCAGTCTCCTAAGAAACCATATTTCTAGTGTTGCTTCTATTTTATTTACACTGTCTTTAGTGATTGTCCAGCATTCACAGGTAAAGTAAAAGGGATTCCTCTCAAACCGAACATGGAAAGTCCAAAACCAGCGGTTAACCAAAAGAAAAGAGAATCTCTGGGGGTTCTGAAGCAACCTCTCTAAACCGAAAATATAACTAATGTCTCCCCAAAAAACACATTCTAGGGTAGGGTCGGTGGCCTAGTGGTTGGGCTACCTGACTCATAATTGTGAGGTTGGGAGTTTGGGGGTTCGAGCCGCGGGCCCGACGCTGTGTCCTTTGGGAAAGCACTTCACATGAATTTTTCTCACTTCACCCAGGCGGGAATAGATACCCGGCCATAGACAGCGAAAGACTTTGTCAGTATGTTAGTGTTTTAGCACCTATAAATGGTCGCTTGCACGATATGCTTCCCAGGAAGTTGAGGTTGTTTCAGAATGCTCTCAGGTCTGCTAGGGTAATAGTATAGATTCTGAAGCGCAAAGAGCTTGCTGTTGAGCGGGGATTTGCGCTATACAATTAATGCTATCTTTTATTATTATTATTATTAGGGAAGTGACAAAACTAGGACAAACCTCTTGGCTTCGTGGAGGGTTGTACAGCGTGTGGTACCTCTCCCCAGTGATGGGGTCCATCGCCCGCAGCGTCAGCCGCTCTAGGACCGAGTCGTTGGGGACATCCAGGAAGAACACTCTGGTAACACAAAGATTTCAGTAAATGAATATATAATTTATACAGTAGACTTTGTTTAATTAACACAAAATTCCTGTAACCACAGAAGGATTTGAGAAGAACACACACATACACACACACACACACACACACACACACACACCCACACACACACACACCCTTCCACACACACACACACACACACACACATACACATCCACACGAACACATACACATACCTGTTAGGCCTCAGTCCGGCCTTGTCTAACTGCTCCGCCTGCTCTCGTGTCCGAGGGTACCCAGACAAGACCCAGCCTCGAGTGACACAGTCCAGCTGACACAGCCGATCCTTCAGGATGTCCAGCACAATGCTGTCTGGCACTGCAGTAGACACACACAAGATTTTTTTAGCTTTTTAGTAGAGGTTTTTAGGCGCTCGCAACTGCATAAGGTCATATGGGCACCAGAAGATTAAAGGTGTTACAAGAGAGTAACAAACATACAAAACAAGAAGGGGAGATAAGGACGATAGATGTTTCATTGGAAAGAAGAAGCAACCCACACCAGAGCACCCGCCAACCACCCATGAGTTTTAGTAAGAGTTTTACAGCACTTGCAACACAATACTGTCTGGCACTGCCTGGACAGACACAAAGCCTTCATTACAGCTTCTCTATAACGACATCGTCGGGACCAGAAAAAAATGTTGTTATAGAGAGTTGTTATAGGGAGACAACCAAAAATTACTAATGATATATCAGGAAAAAAAGAGAAAAACTATCTTGTAAGATTCAAACCCCAATCCTATATGGTTGCTTTTAAAGACAAGCGGGCTAACCCAGATTTCGGGGGTTTCCGGAAATCTAAGACCTACACCAAAAGTGGGCATTGCCCTACCTATAGGAGAAGTCCGGTTTCATTGGTGTGTATATTTGTTTGGTTATAAAGAAAATTTTCCTTGTCTTTTAAAGAAACTGAACACGGGGCAAAAACTTTACCTTCGATTTTTCTAAAAACAGCATTTTTCGGGATAGCCCCATTGTGCTTAAAAGTGACCAAATATGGGCAACAAATAGGTAAGGACAATGAACAAATTCCAGTAAGTAGAAAGATTCTTACTCATCATGTCCTTCTCCACATAGGGTTTGGCGGCCATGCCAGACTTGGTCTCTTGAGTGATTGCTTGTTTGATGAGCTGACCACAAGACACTGGCAAAAACAAACATATTATGTTTAGGTTTAGTAAAAGTTTTACTGCACTTGCAACACAATAAGGTCATATATGTGGCGAAGATTACAGGTGTTATAAGAGAGTAACAACCATCAGGACGATAGATGTTTGATAGGAAAGAAAGAACAAACCACACCAGAGCACCCGCAGTTGTAACCATTTCCTTTGATGGGCAAAATTTGAACAACTGATTGTGTAGTAATGTGATTGTCTTTGAGTGTGTGGTGGATTCTTTTGTCAGAACTATATATATTTATTATAGGTGCATTTATTTTAAATGATGGTTGTGCATTGGATGGGCCAGTACGTATGCAATATGAGTAACAGTGTATGCTGTCAAAATGTTATTTATTCATTGTGAAACGTCTAGAGCTACCAGGGAATGAGTGCTATAGAAGTGATCTCTTGTAACATATGAAGACAACAGGGGAAAAACGACTGTTATCACAAACTGAAAATCGTGAGTGTACCAATTTAGAGAGCTTGTTGACTCATAACTGTATTTCTGTTTAACTGTTGGTTGATTATTGTAGTTAGATGTCCCGTTCAACAACACTTAACAACAAACCACCAGTCAAACAAATATGAAGTTATGAGTCTACAAGCTTTTAAAATTAGCACCCTCACAATTTTGAGTTTGTGACAACAGTCATTTTTCCACTGTGCTCTTCATATATATTCAAATTTTAAAAATCGGACTCCTAATAAATGAGCTGATAGCAACATCATAACAACACCATCAAATAATGTGCATATATCATGTAAGTGTTGTTCTTACCTTTCACCAAGTTATATTTGTTAGCCAACAGAGCGGCTTGCACACCCTTGCCACTCCCAGTAGGCCCCAAGAGGATAACTCTGGGCGTGTGCGGAGCGTTGGACCGGGCTTGGCTGCACAGGAAGGAGAAAGCTGAAACAAATACAATGCAAATGACTTCCATATTATGAATAATAATAATAACAATAAATGACATTTATATAGCGCTCAACCCCGATTAAAGTACACAGGCTCTGAGCGCTTTACAATACAATACAACGTACAACAGTAACAAAAAACATGTTCTGACTAAAAGAAAATTGCTAAAAAATATTCATCTTATTAATTTAAAAACAAAAACGATTTCAGCTGACATTTGAATGAATCAAAAGATTTGACCTCTCTTAAAGTACTTGGTAAAGCATTCCAGATCTTGGGGCCTTGGTATTCAAATGCCCTTTCACCCACTGTTTTAAACTTCATAAATAGTAAAATAAATTTCTTTTTGTCAGCTGATGACTTTACACTGCGAGTTGGAATGTACAGTCTTAACAGATTTGATAAATATGATGGCGCATTAGCATTCAAACATTTGTGACATAGGGTGGCCAACTTGTACACAATTTTTTTCTCAACAGGAAGCCAAAGCTATTTCCGTAAGAGGTTTAACAGAGTCTCGCTTTCTTTTCTGTAAAATTAAACGTGCAGCATTGTTTTGAATTAAGCTGAAAATACTGTCCTCGCCAGGCTGGTAATCCTTCTACTCCTCCTGTTTCACATCATTACCATTCTTTTCCAATCTTTCCCTCACTTCCAATCTTTCTTTCTTTCTTTCTATCTTCCCTTCCTCTCCCTCGGAAAGCTTTTGTTTTACTCTCTGTGCTGTTCTCTCTTTCTTTCTTTCTTTTTTATCTTTCTTTCTTTCTTTCTCCCCTTCTTTTCCCTCGGGCGAAGATTTCCCCTCTTTACCACAAACTGGCACTATGTCCCCGGGGTAGAATTAAAGAAGAAGAAGCAGTAACAAAACGTAGTGGGATAAAACTCTGCAGTGGTAGAAACATTAGACAAATCAAAGAGGGTGCGCAGAGAAATACACACACACACACACACACACACACACACACACACACACACGCACACACACACAGAAAGAGAGAGAGAGAGAGAGAGAGAGAGAAAGAGAGAGAGAGAGATGGAGAGATAGAGGAGAGAGAGAAAGAGAGAGAGAGAGAGAGAGAGAGAAAGAGTGAGAAAAAGAGAGAGAGAGAGAGATAGAGGGTCCGCCAGGGCATGAGAAGGATATGGTCGATTTTATGGACAAGTGGGCTAACCCGGATTTCGGGGGATTCCAGAAATCTTGAATTACACCTAAATTGAGCATTGCCCTACCTATAGGAGAAGTGTGGTTTCATTGGCGTGCAAATTCTTTTGGTTACAGAGAAAACTCTCCTTGTCTTTTAAAGAAACTGAACAAGGGGCAAATATTTTACCTGCAATTTACTCAAAACATCATTTTTCGGGATAGCACCCTTGTGCTTAAAAGCGAACAAGTATAGTACCTTAAACCCCTGTCCTTTCTCAGCACTTCTCTCCTGAGAAAATCAGCCTATCCCTCCTCATAAAATATATGACAAAGTGGTTAAAGTAAATTTCGACCACCCATTCACAAAAAGTGAGTCAAAAGTGTCTTTTTATAAATGACGTCAAGGTGACCCAAATGTGTCCACAAAGAGAGTGGAGACCCCAAAACTGATGTCAAGTAAGTTTTTAATGGGAAAGGGGCTACATTTTACTTTTACTGACATAGTAAACAGAAAAAATGTTAACAAAGCCAAGGCACCAACTTTACATTATTCAAGAAAATGTTCCATAATGTTAACATTTTGCAGTCACTTGGCGCAATAATGCAACTGTGAAAATTATCCGTTCCGATCACCTGGTGCAGTTCTGCGCCAGGCTCAATATGTCTGTTGCAGTCTCTCTCCTGGCTAGGTGACCAGGCGGGGTATTTTGTACTGCTGGCTGTGTGACTGCAAAGTGTTAAAGGAGGCCTTTTTTTGCAGTATATCAACATAACTGGTTTGGACCTCCGAAACTTAATTACAACCTCAAACGAGAAGATGGTTAAAATAATTTCTGCTGACCTTGAGAGTAAACGTCTGCCTTAGGCTGATCAGCATTGACCGTGCGAACGACCTGGTCGTAGCATCGGAGAATTCCGTCGATGTGTCTGTGGTAGAGAACCAGTTTGTTCACCATGGCCTCCTCAGACAAACCCTCTGGTTCTTCCAGCCGTTCCTGCACCTCAGGATTTCCCGGCCAGTCAAAAGTTGTGTGGTAAACATCTAAAAAAAAAAATTGCTTAATCAGAAAGAAATTCATAATGGATCAACAAGAATACAATCAAGCCTGTTTTAACACTTACAGTACCGAAGGCTCATAAAGTGAAAAACCCTCAAGTACCTAATCAGCTCAATTCACTGAAACCAGGGCAGGATTTTAACAATGTTTTAATAACTTTCACAGCCCAAGAAACATGCATAAAAAATTCAGAGTTTCATCAACCCTTTCCATGCAAATTGTAAGATCACGCAGCGGCAGATATATACCTCTAACAACAAAGAAAGAAAGATATAAAAGAAGTTTTTTTACCATCTAACATAAGGCTATGTCAGAATAAGCATAGCTGTGTATTGGAGTATGTATCTATATAACTAAATATAAAGGACTTGTAATAAATTCCTGCATGTGGTTGAATGATGCAACTGATGTGATATGTATATTTTGTCAGCTTTACTTCTCTTTTCGTATTGAATTTTAATGAGAGTAATATATAATTTACATTTTTATCATGTATACCTGCATGTGTTTTTACGGTCCTGTACAGCCAAGAAAAATTTCCCTCTGGAATAATAAAGTTTTATCTTATCTTCCATAGAGTGACTTCCTCTGGTATTTAATTCAGGGCAGTGGCTCCATCCGTTGTTTGAATACGGTATGTTTAGTGTGCCTGGTGAGCTTGACTCCTGGATGGGAATTTTTTAAAATCTAGTATCACTATCTGCTTGCTGCTTGCATCCCTCTTGGCCCAGTTTAGCCCTGACTGAGCGGCCCACCTCCTCAATGATCTAAATTATGCTAAAGGGAGTGTAAAAGAATTACCTTTTTTAGTTTAATGGAATATCTTAAGTACTATTGTACTTTTTTCAATCATAGCTCCAATTTGTACCAAACTCGATATAACTAGAGTCATTTTTCAAGTGCTAAATGAAAGTTGAATCATCACACTTTCAATAAGAAATTGGTCACACTCAGGTGATGCCTGCATTGCACAGTATAAAGGGAATTCCAAGCGAAAGTGCAAAAAAAAATACTGTGGAGTCTGCTTAAACCAAACATGGTTAATCTGGAAACAGCAGTTGACTGAAAAAAAAAAAAAGAATTTCTTTCTTCGCAATTTGAAAAATCTCACTGACGAATGGAAAATCTGGGTGAACTGCAGAAGACCTAGCGGTTCTGTAGATTTTTGTTTAGGAGAATTCTACTATATGTTGTACGAAAGGAAAATAATGGAAATACAGAGCTTCGATCCACGAGACTGACATGCAAGCTCTGCGACAGAAGCTGTGCTTCAAACATAGGAAGAATTAGCCATGAAAGAAGCTGCATGAAGACAACCTTGAGACCATCTTAAGTAGTACATACTATATGTTGTATTATTGTGTGAGAGTTGACAGAGATCAACATTTGGGAAATTCCAGCAGAGACTGATCATTCTTGCACATACCGCCTGTCTTGGTGTCAATTCTCTTCCCAGCGGCTCTTTCTATCAGGACTGTGTCAGGAGCCTCCAAAACGACTGAAACATAAAGAGAACAAGTCGTGCCAGCACAGTTAGAATGAGATGGATAAAAGCAGAACGTATTAACACATTACACATTTGTGTGTCATTGTGGTGAAATCAGGCGCTCGTCAAAATAATAAAATGGAAGCTATCTGCATTTTTCCTCGGGTTTGGAAATTTGTGTAGATTTTGTTTTTTTTATCTCAACACCTTTCGCGTCCAAAAACACATTTGCCTTAGGATTTTACAGAAAAACGTTGATAAAAGGCACATAAATGTAAATTTTCAGTTTTCCAGGACTCTAAAGCTATGGAAGCCACCCCACTTTTGAGGCAATTTTCTCGCTAACTTTACCTCTGAAACTAGGTGACCCCACCTCGTTCAATCGGAAATATCTCGACTTCCATTCAAGATAGATTCATAGTTTTTTCATCAAAAGATAGACAAATAAACAGGCCTCAAGAAGACACCAATAACTCCAAATGCCCTAAAACTGACAACCGCCTGATTCTACCATGTCGTAACATATGTGTCAAGACGAAGTGGAATCAGGCGCTCATCAATTTTTGGCCATATGGTGTTACTGGTATCATCTTAAAGCCTGTTCATTTGCCTTGCTTTGGGTGAAAAAAATAGCCATCTATGTTTATTAAAAGTCGAAATATTTGCCATTGAAAGAGGTCAGAGTGGCCTGGTTTCAGAGGTGAAATTAGCGAGAAAATGGCCACCAAAGTTTGGTAATTTCCATCGCTTGAGAGTCCTTGGAAACTTAAAACTGACATTTTTTTAACCTTCAATCAATGTTTTTCAGTGCAATCCACACAGAAGTTTGTTTTTAAATGGATTTTTTTTTTAAATTAGAAAAAACTGTCATAAAAAAGCAAATTTCTTGGATTTCATTATTTTGTCGAGCGCCTGATTTCACCACACTGCCTCACATATTTCATTTCATCAGGATTTGCCTCTTTCATCTTGGTATTGGGTATAAGCTGACAGGAGAAGCTATTGCCACCTGTCTCATGTTCCTATCTTTGATATCCTGTTAGACAGAAGACTAGTGTGCTTGGTGACTTCCTATCACACTTTTACTGGACTCAGGTTTCTGAGAAAGGTAAATAGCTACAGCATTGTAGACAACGATAAACAGTTCTCAAAGAAGGAAAGTGTGCAGAGCTGCTAGTTTCAATCTGAAAGCTTTCAAAACTCTTCAAGGTCTGGGTAAATTATTGTTTCACTCTACATCAAAAGCTTTTTTATCCTTTCATTAGAGATCTAATGGTGGCTACATATGTATATATATATATGTATATATATATATATATATATGTTACATAAAAAAGTGAGTTGATGTTGTTCGTCTTTTATCCCTCTGGACTTTCAAATAACCCCTGAATGCTGCAACCAGCAATCACAGGGGGAAGGCGGGTTCATGGTCCTCTATCCTATTTCTTAATTGAACCTAAGTTTGAAAAGATTTTTCTTTTTTTGGTGTCTTATGGTGCTCACAACTGCATAAGGTCATATGAGTGTGCGGGACACACCAAACATTTTCAGTTGGTAGGAGATTTTGAATTTTGTGCAGGTGGCGGCCGAAGCCTACTCTTATCGATTTTAGACCACCAAGGGATCTTTAACGTTCCCAACTTGCACACAGGCCCTTCCGAGATTTTTCGCCCTTTCCGAGAAGGCTAGGAGTAGATCTTTCCTATCAGAAGATCAGGGGTGTGGCTGAAAGACAGCAGTAAGAAGGAGCGAAGGAGTAGCAGTAGAAAGGCTGCAGAAAGAGTTAGGAGCCCAGAGGAGCGGGCAAAGGAGGGAGGGGGCAGAAAGTGGAGACGAAAGCAGACGACAGAGCATTGCTAGAGATCAGGAAAGGAGGTGAAAGGAGACAATTTTAGAGAAGAAAATGTTTCCGTCGCTACCTTGATTCGAACCCGAGACTTTTGACATGAATGAGAGACAGACACGTTAACCTAGGCCACGAGAGCCCCCTTAGACAAAACTGCAAGAGATATAAAGATCAAAACTGTAGTGTCAACATACTGCAATGCTTTGGGTAGATTCCATTGATCTGTAATGCCATCGCTTGTTCACGGGTCTCAGGGAATCCTTCCAACACCCAACCTTTCTTCTGAGTATCATACAACTGCATTCTGTCTGTTAGGATCTTCAACCACATTTCAGTTGGGATGGGCTGTAATATGTAAGGAAAAGGGAGAACAATACATAAGGTGCAAAACTTCCTTCCAAAATATAAGTAAACTTTTAAAAGACAATGGCGAATATGTTTCACTTCACTGTTTTTCATTTAATAATAATAATAATAAATGATAAATAGCATTTGTATAGCGTGCATATCCCCGCTTGACAGCAAGCTCTATGCGCTTTTACATTATTGTATTTCTCAGACTTTGAAAGGCAATTTGAAAAACATTGCAATATTATGCCTTTAAATTCCTTCTTCTTTTTCTACTTCAGTGTATATGTATAGCAAGCAGAAAGCTATTTTTGAGACTTGATGAAGACCACAAAACTGATTGAACACATTCATTGACTTTACACAAAAGTGAATTTCCACAAAAGTGGTATGAGCACAGTCAAACCATTTACCTCTTGATTCTGAATGAAGCTGCGTGCCTTGTCACGAATAGCTATATCTGCTTCTTCGATAAGGTTCTGTGAAGTGAGGTGGGCACAACGTAGTTTTCCACACACCATCTTTGCAATGGAGCGTTTACCAGAGCATGGTGGCCCGAGAATGACAATAGCTGGCACTGGAATATAAATGTGCAGACAATTTCAGTTAACACATCCAAATATTTCAAATATGTAAATGAAAATAATAATACCACATCTTTTCCATGCAACAATTACAAATCTAAAAACAAAAACAGACCTGCTTGTGCATAAGAAAACGAAACAAAAAACCCATAGATTTATCATCCACAATAAATAAGCCCAAACAACAAAATGGCAGTTTGATAGAAACTTCAAAGATTAATTGTCGTTTTGAGAGATTGCCTACCCCAGAATCAAATGTGTTTCAAAAAAGCTTCTGTCATAATTCATTTAGTTCTTTGATTTGGTAAAGTATGAATACTACAGAACAAAAACATTGAAAGAATATTCTATGAAAACTAAAGGGAAACTAAAAAGGAGCAGAAAAATATTTTTTTTATAACAACATGGGCCTGTTTTAAAAAGAAATGAGAAATAGCTGAAAATGTTTCCCCATTTATGAAGGTGTTTTGTTTTAAACTTACCATCATCATTTTCTCTCTTGAGTAAGTTGATAAGATAAAGTATTGGGTCATCAGGCTTAGAAATCACCAACTGCTCAATCAGCCTCTGTTTTTGTGTTTGAAAAAAAAAAAGAATATAGAAATGTATCAATGTTACTGTCAGCAAGTGAACAATATATAGTTGAGTCAAGTCATCGTATTAGGTATTTTTTACAGAGGGATTCCTTATACGTATAAAAAGTTCAAAGCTGTAATTTACTCACTGCATTATATTTCATATTCTTTTTTTTCCTTCTGAATAACGACTAGTCTATTTAAACAGACTAATTTCCACTCTAATTTTAACAGTGTCAGTGTCATTTAAATTGTAATCATTGACCCTGCGTTCATGTCTACAGCTTACTCTTTATCTCTGAGGGGCGGGGGTAATTAACCTATACTATGCTGGGGCCCATTTTCAGTACGAAATCTACAATTTAAGTGACACGACATCACTAAAACGGTTATTAAATCAAAACAAATTAACCTATTTTTGATAGTCTTCATATGTCTAATAAATGAACTCCTGGTAAAATTAGACTGTTTTCAGCAATTTCTGAGAAGTTAATTTATCTTCGATAGCCATTGTAAAGAAATGTGCCTGAGTGGAGCGGCTCACTTTAGCAAGTGTGGTTCTGATCGCAAGCCATATATTAGGCTGGGAGCAGCTTGCCACAGATAAAGATTGTTAATTTATCTTGCCGTGTGTAAGTGAGTCTATATATATTACATTAAATTACATTATTTATAGCACTGTACATCTCAAGCATAATTGATGCAAAATTTATCTTGCCGAGGGGAATATATGAGGGGTATGCCTTTCATAGTTTTGCAAAGCATTAATGTTCAATGCATGCACATTTCAAAAGGTAATAAAACATTAATTATCCCTAGATCTAGTTTTAGTATCAATATTTTCAACTTTATTCAATTAAAGATGTTTCCGACATGAGTTCAGTCATGACGAATTTTTTCAAAAAAAGTATGGTTGATTTGGTTATCTTTTTTGTGCCCCACCTGAGTCACATTTTGGCTTAATAAATTATATAATAATGCGGTAGCTATATTTTTTTATCGAGTCAGTTAAGCTTCCATTATATAAAACTGTCTAGGCAGGCTGGCTATAGTCTATTAGTCTCTTGCTTCTGAATAAAATTCAATAATATGAAATACACTGTACACACATACACACACACACACACACACACACACACACACACACACACACACACACACACACACACACACACAAAATTCCACTCTCTCATGAATACAAACAAAAGTTCAGAACTCATTACACTACCCGTGTAGGATCAAGCACTATATTCTAGCACTGGTCGAGGCTTGGCGGGTTTCAGCTCCGGCAGCTCTGTACTCAACTAGTGGTGCCATCATAACATAAAGAATAACGGTAGCGCATCGAAAAGACCTCTCACCTTATACATATCAAATATCCCATGCTTCTCTGCATATGTGGCAAACTCTGGTGGTATTCGCAAAGGACGCTTTGTTTGATCCATATTGCCAGCACAGTTCAAACGGAGATGGGTGCTTTAGAATTCTTGTTCTGCCGGATGCAGGGTTGTTTGTGTAGGTTGCTACGGCGCCATTAACATAATAAAAACTAAGAACAAGGGTACACCACGAAACGAAGGAAACAAATCAAAAACAAAAGTCAATAATCTAACGTAACAAAACATTGAGCAACCCACAATCTTATGGGCTTATTAATAGGCCTTGTTTTATTATTTTAGTAAGTGTTTTACGGCACTTGCAACACAATAAGGTCATATGAGTGCCAAAGATTAGAGGTGTTACAAGAGAATAACAAGCACAATGAAGAAGGAGGGGAGATAAAGACGACAGATGTTTGATAGGAAAGAAGAAGCAAACCACACAGAGTACCCGCCAACCACCCACTTATAACAGGCCTGATTATTTCCTTTAAAATTTCATAGAACAATAGAACCTATTTAAAAAATTGCTTCCGTTAAGCTGTCTGACGAGCAAAAGAAAAACTAGATTTTAGACAACAACTAATTCACCAATTTGTCTCACACAAAACTGGCGAATTTGTGGCCTCATGAAAACGTCTTTTTTCGGGGGGGGGGGGGGGGGGGGGGGGAGGGCGTACGGCGTTCGCAACTGCATAACATAACTAGGCCATATGAGCGCGGGGGACACATTAAACATTTTTCATTGGTAGGAAATTTTGAATTTTGCCCAGGTAGCGGCCGAAGTCTACTCTTAGCGATTTTAGACCACCATGGGATCTCTAACGTGCGCAACTTGCAAACGGGCCCTCCGAGATTTTTCGCTTTTATCCAAGAAAGCAGGGTGTAGCTCTTTCCTACCAGAAGAGCAGGGATGTGGCTGAAAGACAACAGTAAGAATGAGCCAAGGAGTAGCAGTAATTAAGGCTGCAGAAAGAGTCAGGGCCCGGGGGAGGAGGGGGGGGGGGGCAAAAGAAGGTGGGGGCAGAAAGTGGAGACGAAAGCAGACGGCAGAACATTGCTTGAGAGCAGGAAAGGAGGTAAAAGGAGACAATTTTAGAGAAGAAAATTGTTCTGTTGCTTCCCGGATTCGAACTCTGGGACCTTGAATGAACACGCCCTCTAATTTAAGCAACTCGAGAGCCCCCTTGAATACGTCTATAGAGCGATCTCGAACTCAAGCAGCAGCAGAAAGCATCAATTATGTCTCCCTCTTTACTTTCTTTTCATTTTTAGTTTTTGTGGGTCTTTTTCGCTTTGCCTTATTTCTAACTTCAAAAAAATGTTTTGCCTGTTTGTTTGTTTGCTGTTGTTGTGGTTGTTATGGAGTTTGTTTGTTTGTTGGTTGGCTTTTTTTTAATTTTTGTTTTTTTATCTTTATTCATGGCATATATATATTGGGCCTACATGAGGCATACATTAGCGATAAAGTCAGAGGTATGCTTACGATAAATCCAGGGGTCAGATATGTTTATGATAAACAGTCGAGTTCAGTAATTATAATGTTAATACGGTAAATTTTTACTTCCACTCTCACACACAGATGCATTTCTTGATGGTCAAACTGCAGTGCTTTTTGCTGCAGATAACACAACTAAAACTGTTGTAAATCATTTTAAAAAAATAAATTCAAACCTTACAGAAAACATCAATATGGCCGCTGTAATTCTAGATTCATTTTTACTTGGGGGGGGGGGGGGGGGAGGGATGGCCCCCTGAAATCCCTAGTGGATGGCCCCCTGAAATCCCCTTATCCGTGGAAAATAATACACAATTAATTAACCTTAGTGTGATAATGTACTTTAGTTGAATTGTCTATTAATTTGAGTCGGAAATGCGGTGCCGATAATATGTTTTCTGCTCATCAATATTTAAGAGAAAATGGACATATTAGTATTTAGTGTGAGACGGTAGGGTAAAAAAAAAAGAATGCATAGAATTTACAGACACCCCATACCACCCCCACCCCCCACCCCCACACGCACACACACTTCGAAGGTCTCACAAACTTATATTATAGTGCAACTGAACTGACTGGACGGCACTACAATTTTCTTATTACAAAATTATCAACGCGCTGTGACTGACAGAACAATTTAATAGACTGGTCAAGAAATCGTAGATAGCGAACAAGCTGGCAGAAATAGGAAATCAAAGCAAACGTTGTGGGCTCTAAAGATTGGTTATTTATTGATAGTATATAATATTAGCGGCGGACTCCGCACACACAGAGGCGGGGAGATTCAGGCTTAGCATTGCGGGTTCCGGGCCTCAAGGCTCAATTAACAACTCTTTCGAGAGTGTTCGAGACAGAGACAGAAAGAGGGAGTGAGCAGTGAGAGCGTGAGAGTTACATCGCAAGTCTTTGATATGGACAACAATCAGTTTCTATAGTTTCGAAACCAGACTCGAACGTACTAGATTCAACTAAAACAGAATTAAATGAATCAGTTGGATATAGAATGAGAAAAGTAGTTTTGTTTGTCTTAACTAATATTTGTTATTTATATTGAATGTGACACCCTTTGTACGAAGCTGAGGCTTTTTCATGTTTTGTATGTCATGTGACACCTCTCAGATTCAAGATGTCTTCTTCTCAGTTCCTTCTAAACAAAATTGATGAACTGCAAAGACGTTTACTAGCTGAGAACCGCTCTCATGATGCAGACAGGAATAACCGTAATGCTGAAACAGGATCCCCTAGTCCAAGGCGACCCAGAATGTGTAAGGAACTCTGCTTTGTTCCGGATTATGCTATGATAATCAGCAAGAGCTCTTTTCACTTTCTACTGCTACTTTCTCGGAAAGTTTGTGCCTCTCACTTCTTTCACTCACGGACACTGTACTACTGTCACTACACAACCATAAAACTCGTCTCACTCTCTTATCAGTCTACTCTAGATCTAGAATCTAGATCTAGACTAGTCTCAGTCTAAAGTCAGTTCTTTTAGTTGTATGGCTCATTCTCAGGTAATTCTTCAGCTCTCAGGTCTCAGGATGAATGAATGTTTTGTTTGTTACACTACACCTGTCGTCACAACTAATTGGCATTAATTTTACATTTATTATGGACGGCCACATCTATCGTGAGAATACCACAGGCGAGCCTATTGGCTATTCCCACCCGGCCCGGTGTGCCTTCACCGTTATAGCCTAGGCCAACCAGTGTAGCGTTCACCCTGAACCACAGTATTCCACACTGTGATGACAGAATTATAGAATTCTGTGCCGTGAACAAACGTTCCATCACTCTTGTGTTACTACTGTTAGCCTAAAAGTGTTGCAATTTTGTCTGTGGGCAGTGGAGAGAGAGAGAAAGAAAGAGAGAGGAGTAGCACAAGAGCTTCCGGACAAAACAAAATGGCGACTCGCGCAGTTCGGCTCGATTCGAAAAGTTAAATAGCCTATTAGCATCTTTGTAGAGATAGCTTACTTTTGTGCTATAACGTCATTTTTTCTTTGCTTTTGTCAATTTGATCATCCACACCGATAAACAGTATTCCGAAACTAGGAAAAACAGGTCTTAGTCTTGTTTCACACCGGGTGAGAATAGCCAACGCTGGCAAGTCTCACCCGGGGTGAGAAGTCGATCGTATTTTTATTCTCACTCCGGGTGAGGATAGCCACTTCTATTATGGACCGGTTTCAAGTCCAGGCTCTCAGTCTCATCGAACCTCTTTTCTTGTTTAGTCTGCTGCTACGCTACACTAATGAAATGAAAGAATAAACTTCATTTGCAGTGCAAACCATCACTAGACATATATAGATCTAAATTACCTTTTCACTTTTTGAGTTATTGGTTAGCAATGCCAATCGCCCGCTGCGCCTTGGGCCGGAAATCGGCCTCCGCGCGAGGGGTAATTTTTGGGCCTCTTGGAATCAGAAGTGACTCTCTTCTAAGTATAGTTACGGGAAAACTCCTTGACGAAAATAAATGAAACTCGGCAACCAATCAGAGGAAAGGTTAAACTAACGACATGCCAGCGTACAATCCCGAACGATTACTAGAACCAGAGATATTGCCGCGTTTGTGGGAATTTCCTCTGCGGTTCGAAAACTAAGCGGAGCTGCGGGTTGATCGCCAACCACACAAGCCCCCCACATGTCTTCTTTAACCACCCATCCATTGATAAAACACTAGAGCTGGAAACTAGATCACTCATTCCAAAAGCAAGGTGCCGGCATGCAAGAGACGCGTGATCGCTAGGCGGCATGTGATTGGCTGCCTGTAACTAAATAGGTCAGCGATGACTACATCGCATGTTTTTCCGATAGCGCTTTACTGAGTTTAAGAAGGGGTGATCGCGTCGCGGTAAAAACGACAGGGTTGGTGATTTTTTAAATTTCGGATTTTTTTTATTTTAAAAAAAATGTCGACACAGTTTGGGATTTTTGGTGGCTAAAAGTAAGTTCTTTTAGTGCAAAATGCATTGTCTTTATTTTAACAAATGATTAATTTAAGCAACTGCAATTTTAGAAAGCCTTATAATCTGCTAGATCTATATCAATGAATTATGGCTACAGACAAAAAATGAAGAAAATGTCAGTCTAAAAGGAAAGGGGGGGGAGGGGTTATTATGCGTAGATAAACTTGCATTTTTGTTACTGTGTGTGTGTGTGCGTGCGCTTGTGTTTGTCTAAAAAGAAAAAGAAAATGCTAATTTCAATTATGAAAAAAGAGTAAATTGAATAGATCTACAGTATTATTTTACTATTTATAGTGACAGGGGGGAAAGCAGACTTTTAACTCTAGTCCTGCGGGGTTAACCAGAAGAGGGCTCTTATCGATCGATGACCCACTTACGTCGCCCGCGAGCTTGTGCCGCAGGGCGCCGGGGTCAGACACCGGTCACGCGAGCGTGCCGCGGCAGGTCAGGGAAACACCTAATCTTTTACAGCAAACTGATTCGATCAATGAATAAATGTTACGATCACACGAACAATCCCATTATCTCCTCGTCAGTTGATCAGAGACGCTGAGATTGGAAGTTACACCTAATCGAATAACTTTTCCAGAGTTTTCCAGATTTCACACCTATTATGAATGAACTTGCGAACAGCTGGCTGCTTATCAGCTATCGTTCGAAAGAGGAAAAAAATGGGATAATTTCCGATTATTTTTTTCATTTAGTTGCTCTCAAATTTCTCCCTCTGGTAGGACAATGGTTCAAAAACCACCAAATATGATTATTTACATAAAAGGAAACAACGTTTGGTGTAAGAATTAGATCGTTTGAAAAGTGAGGAAAGGTGTTTGCATTGAAAGATGAAAGTCCTATTTCCTGAATATCCTTTCGAGTCCCTCAAGTGTTTAACTGGGTCAAAATGCTCATATTTCATTGGATGAACGTCTCAACCGACGCTCTGTTGTCTCTACCAACACCTCGCTTTGCAAAACAATGCAGTAAGTTCCAGATGGACACACAGGCACAAGCAGACTGACCCACACACATTTTAGCACACAGATGCAGACCCCGCCCTAAACGAAATGCGTTGCCTGCGCAGGACGACGACTGATCAGGGACCAGCTGTAGAGCGCCGCGCGGGATTGCGCTTATCGGGCAAACATTTATCAGGGACCAGAATCTTAAGGGTTAAGCATGATTATTTTAGTCTACTAAACCTTATATCATCTGTTTTATAAAACCAAGGAAAGGAATTCTGAATGTTTAAAGATGTAAAAACAGAATACTTTTTTCACTGAGTTTTATTTTTAAAATCAAGTTGATATAAATTTTTAAAAATCAACTGATTTAAATCGATCTGATTTAAATTTTTTAAAAATCAACTGATTTAAATCGACCTGATTTAAATCAACCCACGATTTAAATCAACCCAACCCTGGTTTTCAATTATGAAAAAAAAGGAAATTGAGAACTGTATTATTTTACAATGACATGGGGGGAAAGCAGACTTTTAAGCATGATTATATTAGTCTACTAAACCTTATATTGTTTAATGAAACCAAGGGAAGGAATTCTGAATGTTTAAATATATGTAAAAACTGAATACATTTTTTTGAAAAGTGATTTAAATCACTGATTTTTATTTTAAAAATCAAGTTGATTAAAATTTAAAAAATCAACTGATTTAAATCAACCCAGCTCTGATTTCAATTATGGAAAAAAAGTAATTTGAATCTGTATTATTTTACAGTGAAAGGGAGGAAATCAGACTTTTAAGCATGAATATATTAGTCTACTAAACCTTATATCTGTTTTATGAAACCAAGGAAAGGAATTCTGAATGTTGAAATGTGTAAAAACTGAATAAAAATAAATATTTTAAAAAGTTATTTAAATCACTGATTTTTATTTAAAAAATCAAGTTGATTTAAATTTAAAAAATCAACTGATTTAAATCAACCCAACCCTGAAAAACGATGTCACGCAATTCAACAATTTCACGCAAATATCAGTCTTCAAGATCTAAAGTATAAAGACATTGAAAAAGTGATAGCAGAACTAGATTCTGCACTAAAAGTCAACATGAAGATGCCAAGTTTCATTCGTATGCTCCAATTCATTACTGACTTATGAACAGTTTTTCCTCAAAATGCATCAAGACATGTCCCCTCATTTTGGCGATTTTTTTCCTATATGAAGGTCCTCTAACATTTTGCAAACAAAAATCCCAATAACTTTTTTATTTATCAATGGATTTTTAAAATTTAAAAACCATAGTTCTTAGAATTTACTCTATTTTCATTTAAGCCCATTTTTAAGCAATTTGGATGAAAATTTTATTTTTCATTGTCATTGCTATATTGGTGGGTTGTTTTTTTTACGAATTAGATCTAGATATATGTTGCAAAGGGGCCCAGTTAACATTCTAGATCTAGAAATCTAGACGTAGATCTAGTTATATTTCATTTTTAAAAGATAAAGTGGCTACGTTCACTGCGCCCTGAATGCAGTTTGCAGGCGCTGTTGAGGCTACGTTCACGGCTCTAAGAGTTTCGTTTAAGGGGAGCGTCCACTGTTAGTTTAAATCAGCAGGTTTTAGTCAGTGACGTATATTTTGGCCAGCTTCAAGTGTTCCATCCCATGAGATGAAGGAAAACGAAGCGCCCTTACCGAATTAAAGTCGGGATATGGGATTAACGGAAAATTGGATACGGTACCTGGGACACAAGAGGTGAGAGATTGGAAACAGAAGGTGGGACTCGGAAGATGGGACTGGTCATACAATATGTACTGTACAATAATGACTATTGCACCGCGTCAGCCTGGGAAGCGACGCAGAGAGAGAATGACAGGAATCAATTATTCTTATTATGATAACACACACCCTCTCTCTCTCTCTTTTTCTGTCTGTCCCCCCCCCCCCCCCCCCCATCTCTATTTTAGTCAGTGTCTGGTCTGTCTCTCCCTCTTTCTCCCCCCCCCCCCCTTTCTGTCCCTCTCTCTCTTTCTCTCCCGCCCCCAAACCTTCTTTTTCTCTCTCTTCCCCCCCCCCTCTCTATCTCTCTTTCTCTCTCTCTCTTTCTCTCTTTCAGTCAATATTTATAAGCTAAAGGTTTGATTCCTTCTGTCAGTGGTTAACATCTTCAGATGGATGAAATGATGACCAGCTCAGCTCCATCCCCAAATTGAAATGATATAGAAACAGTATAATGGTAAGTCAGGAAAGGATTGGAGTGATCCGAGCAATACTCAGATAATAGCTACTCTGGAAAATCAGCAAAAAGTTGGCTGACCCCGACACTCTAACCGACTTACTTATCCCAATTGAGGGAAGGTGATGAAGATGGCTTATTCCCTTTTGAAACTGTCTCGTCCTAGTCTGCTAGTTGCGGCCAAGGCAAGGGATGTGTTTGAATTTTAGATTATAAAACACAATAGAAAAAGGGTTGTTTACCCATCTCCAGATCATTTTGAGTCTCGGTCCCATAATTGATATCGATTTAAATATGTAAGTAGCCCAAATATTTATAAAAGCTCTCCTTTTTGAAGAAATCCTTTTTTTTTTTGTCACAATTTTTTCATACAATAGATACATTGATCCATGATAAATCCCATTTGGAATGGATGGTATGAAACTGAAAAGTAAACCCCCCAAAAAATAGTTGATGCATCTTGCTCAGAAGACCCTAATGTTTCTTAAGAACATCCTTACTTTTTCCTTCTGTTTCTTTATTTCTATCTAGTGGGTACAGGCATGGGACCCTCCGAGAGCAATTTTCTAATGCCAAATGGTGCCCGGTCAAGCTCAGCACCGTCCTCAGGCCGACGCAGACCGAACATGGGAATGCAGCTGGACTGCTCCTCCAGGTCTCCGCTCAGAGTGGTGCCAGACAGGTGATGATTGCTGTTGTTAAATATGTACTCCTGTGGTATCTGTATCTCACTAATTTACTACGAAATCTTGAAGGTGACCTTTTACGTCTTGAGAGATCAAAATCCATGATTCCATGGCAAATTGAAAAATTCAGTCTTGTTCCCCAGGACGGTATTGTTAAATAATTACAATCTGAATTGGGAGTTGTGAGTTGGCACCTTCTTTTTTCTTTCTTTTTTTTTGTGTGTGTGTTTATGTTTGTTTTCAGATTTCATTTGCGGTTGCTTTTACAATTTTGTTTAACATCACATCCGTATGAATTCTTCTCCTTTTAATTTTGATTTTGTTTGTTGTAAGCGTTTGGGTGGATTGAAAAGGAAAACATCATGAGTTTGGCATAAGGCACTTTTGTGTCGCTAAAGTTTTATCTTCTTTAACAGGACAGAATGTTGATCATGGATGGTTGGCGGGCACTTTGGTTTAGTTTGCTCCTTCTTTCCTTGAGAACACCTGTATTCTTCTATGTGGCGTTCATAGATGTTTTTGTTGCTGTCAATTAAAGTAAAACTGGAGTTTGTATCTTTTTTTCAGTGCGGAGACTGATCAAAAGATTGAAGAAATTATGAAACAGTCTGGCATTCTTACATTTGGATCTCAAGTAAGTCTGATCTTTCTGATTACCGTGTTGTTTTTTTGTTTCCCTGCTAGACCTCAGGGATAGTAGCTGTAGGTTCTTTGACCCATTGTGCAACTTGTTGTTATATATATATTCCTACATGAAAATTTAACTTACCCTTCAGACAGCTTTTTGCTGTTTTTTTCGTTTCTTGATTGATTTTAAAACTACCAGAAAGCTTTCTTGAAACGGTAGGGATTAATTTGGTCTTTATTCAAACACAGCTGTAATTTTAAAAATTCTTATTATTACTTTTATTTTTATATTTGACTTTTTGATTGCCTACTGTTGTTGAGTGTTGAGAAGACATACATGCTATTTTCCTGTGGTAGGCAAACTTTGCTGTTCAAGTTTTGTTGTTGTTTTTTTAAAAAGGGCGTTTTTTTAAACTTACTTTTTCTTTCTTTTCAAATTTTCCAACCAACTCCCTGTGGGTGATGGCAGAGAATTCTCAGCAATGTGGAGGATCTGCAGCCAGAGGGAGAACTAGGTCACGGCACGTGTGGTCAGGTGACCCGCATGCGACACAAGCCCACCAATCATCTGATGGCTGTCAAGGTAAGGAGCATGCACGGAATCTCATTCTTATTTTAAAATATGTAATGTATTTGTTTTGAGTTTTTTAAATCTATTTTTTAGAATTAAAATGTACAATGTAATATTTTACGCTTTTGTAAACCAAATTTTGACTTGTGAATTATAGAAGTGAAATTTTATCATTCAGTTTTATTTTTATTAGCCTCTTGTCTCCGCATCCCTGAGCTGTTCTCGAAGTGTTGAATAAGTCTTTGCTGCTAGGAATGGAGAAAGAGTTACGTTATGGTTGTGTTAGACGTGGAGTGTGGTATGTCTTGGAAATATGGCATGGGCACTGCGCCCCCCCCCCCTCCCAAGAAGGGGTTGGGGAAAGATGAGAAATAATCTGTATTCTTTCAGACTTGCACGTTTCCTTTTCTGGCATACTGGTAAAGTTTCCTACTGACTTGTTTCAGATGTTGTTTTACTTTACTAGTTTTGGGTTTCTTTCTCTGTTGGGTGCAGCCAGTTAAGTTGAACATTTTATTTTTCCATTAGCAAGTCACTATGATGTTGATTTTTTGAAATAGTATGACAAATTGCTTAATAGATAATAATTTATGACATTTTATTTTTTTACATTCGATTAGAGAACACAGACTCTGAGCACTGTATTACAAGTAAAATAGCCACACACATGTATGCAATACATTGTGTTCTGATTAAAAATCTTGTTACATCTCTTTAATTGAGCCTGTAAATTCTTTGCCATATCGACAGGCCGAAGGGCTAGAACCCTGTTGGCCACTGGATCGGAAAAGTAAAGTATCTCTTTAATCTAGATTAATATCTTTTGAGTTGCTTCTCATCTTTGGGGGGGTTAATTTAGATGTTAAGTCTGAGTGTTCTTTTGGACACCACTGCATGCTCCTTCAGACAATGTTGTACTCATTGTTTGTTTATTTTTTAAATTTTCGTCATGTTTCTCCTTTTTTTTCTCCCCAGCAAATGCGCCGTTCAGGCAACAAAGAGGAGAACAAAAGAATCATCATGGACCTGGACGTGGTCATCAAGAGCCACGACTGTCCCTACATCGTCCAGTGCATCGGCACCTTCATCACAAAGGTCAGCCTGATCAAAACCTATATCTGTGCCCTCTCACCATCAGTGCCTTTCTTACCCTGATTGGCGGGTGCTCTGATGTGGTTTGCACTTCTTTCCTATCAAACAACTATCGTCCTTATCTCCCCTTCTTTTTTTTTATGTTTGTTACTCTCTTTCTAATCTTCTGGCGCTCATATGACCTTTTGCAGTTGCGAGCGCCATTAAACTCCTACTAAATTAAACTAAAACTCTCTCCACGTTTGCGTATCCCGAGCCAACGTCTTGATATCTAGTAATTTTTGTTCCTGTGTTGTGGCAAGGTTTTAAAAAATTGTTTTTCTAAATCTTATCTGCCTTTTTATTTCCTACTGGGGAAAAAAAAATAAAAATAATACTTAATGTTTAAATAGTATGCTTTGTTTATTGAGATGATAAGGAGTATGTGCGCTATACTATTGACAAACACAGTTGCTTTTATGCTTATTTTGAGGCTTCCTCAGGATTTTTTTCTCCTTCCTTCCTATCAAATAGCTATTGTGGGTGGTTGGCAGGTGCTCTGGTGTGGTTTGCTTCTTCTTTCCTATCAAACATCTATCATCCTTATCTCCCCTTCTTCTTTTGTATGTTTGTTACTCTCTTGTAACACCTCTAATCTTCTGGTGCTCATATGACCTAATGCAGTTGCGAGCGCCGTAAAACTTCTACTAAAACTAAAACTTTTCTCCTTTTTGAATGACCTCAAAGTGCTGCATCCTGTAGTACAAATACGGAGCAAGAACTGATCTGTATTATTATGAGTTATTAAAGTCCCAATTTTTCTGTAGACGGCAAGTGCAATAAAACTCTTTAAACACTTTGCCGCCTCATCTCGCCGATCGGCGATGTTTACCACCCAGTTTTTTGGGATTTTCCCCAAAATGCCTTTGCCTTTGATGGCAAGAGTTTTTGCTTTACAAGCCTTGTGATGGCAAAGTTTAACAAAACTGTTCCTAAAGATCCCTGTCTGTCTGTCTGTCGTTCCCACAGAGTGAAGTCTGGATCTGCATGGAGCTGATGGCAACCTGTCTGGACAAACTGCTCAAGAGAACTCGCCGACCGGTGCCGGAGAACATACTCGGGAAAATTGTTGTGGCGGTAAGCTCCTAGCTTTTTTTTTTTTAAAACAGTCATTTGAAAGCTGAGAGTTGTTTTTCTTTAACGGTTGTCAAAAAGTTTTCTTAACTCTTTCAGTCCGAGCTATTTTTGCGTACTCTCTAATCCCAGTCCCAGCCAATAGAGCAGAATTTCAGAAAAAGAGCCATGCTTTCTAAAAAAGTGACATAGTATCTTTGTAAGGAGGTTTAGACAATAACCTACAGCAGTGATTAAAGGTAAATTAACAAATATGAAAGTTTAAGTTAAATCAGGTTCACTGCCATTTAGAAAAATGCGTAAACTCGGTCCCCTAAAACAGAACTGAGAATATTACGCTCTTGGGATGGTGGGAAGTGCAAGTGCTGCTGAAAAAATATGCGCATGGGGCTAGAAGGGGTTAATGGCTTGTTGTAGAGGGGAAATTTGCTTACTTACATTTATTGTGCTGCTGTTGTGTTGCTTCTGTAATGTCGGCTATTGCTTTTATGTCCATTGATTGGTGATTGATGATGATAGTTTTGAGTGGGTGGTTGGCGAGTGCTCTGGTGTGGTTTGGTTCTTCTTTCCTGTCAAACATCTATCGTCCTTATCTCCGCTTCTTCTTTCTTATGTTTGTTACTCTCTTGTAATCCCTCTAATCTTCTGGCGCTCATGTGACCGTATGCAGTTGTGAGCGTTGTAAAACCTCTACTAAAAAAAACAATGATAGTTGTGTATTGTTTTGAAAAAGAGGTTAACTTTTTATATGGAAATTGTGATTGTCAACATTGTTGTTATGAGACAATATGAAGTCCCCCCCCAACCCCAACCCCCTTTTTAAAAAGTTGGTATAACCCTTTAGGCATTAACTCTTCATGGGGTTCACATGTGAACCAAGGGGCATTAGAGGACTAATGCAACATATTTTGTGTCGTTTCTACAGACAGTGAATGCTTTGCACTACCTCAAGGAAAGGCATGGTGTTATACACAGAGGTAAGTCTGGCCCAGTTGTCTTCATAACTAGAAATAAAAATATGTAATGATGTACATTTGGTTGCATATGTATACAAACATATAATAAATACATTTAACTGTCGAAATTGTCCCAGGACAGTCACCTATTGTCGAGCAGAGACATGGTCGTGGGTGGTTGGCGGGTGCTCTGGTGTGGGTTGCTTCTTCTTTCCTATCAAATATCTGTTGTCCTTATCTCCCCTTCACCCCCCCCCCCCCCCCCCCCCCCCCCCCGGGGCAGTGCCACTGACTGTAGTGTCTTTAGGCCATTCCCAAAGGGGGGACATTTCTCGTTCAAGTGCAGTAAAAAATGGGCTGATTCATGTCACGCTCATAACTGTGCCTGATCTACAACAGGGAACTGCTGCTTTTTCTTTCCTAATCCTTACTATTCTCATTTCCTCTACTTCTTTTGTATGTTTATCACTCTCTTGTGACCTGCTATTTCCGGAGTGCCTTGATAGTTGAAGCAGACCTTGTGCTGTTGAAGCTAGAGAGGTGGGCAGAGTAAGTCTGATTCCCTGTAAAGACTTCTCTGTTGACACCCACCCCTTGGCGCTCATATGACCTTATGCAGTTGCGAGTGCCGTAAAACTCTCTACTATAATAAATAAATAATTATCTCCCCTTCTTCTTTTTTATGTTTGTTACTCTCTTGTAACACTTCTAATCTTCTGACGCTCATATGACCTTAAATGCAGTTGCAAGCGCCGTAAAACCTCTTCTAAAACTAAAACTAAACTAAGAGACATGGTTGTCTTAGACAGGTGGACGTCTTGAACAGTGTCATAATATAAACCCCCATTAAAAATTTTAAAAAACAACAAGAGGAGTAGGGAGTGGTGGCCTGTGCAGTTAATTGTCTAAGTTAGCAGGTTCAACTGTATTATTGTTATGATTATTATCATCATGTGTACCTTTAGACTGTGGCTGGTTGGCGGGTGCTCTGGTATGGTTTGTTCCTTCTTTCCTATCAAACGACTATCGTCTTTATCTTTATCTCTCCTCCTTCTTTTTTATGTTTGTTACTCTCTTGTAACACCTCTAATCTTCCACCCCCCCGGGGCAGTGCCACTGACTGAAGTGTCTTTAGGCCATTTCCAAAGGGGGGACATATCTCGTTCAAGCATAGCAGAATTGTAAATGGGCTGACTCATGTCACGCTCATAACTGTGCCTGATCTACAGCAGGGAACTGCTGTTTTTTCTTTCCTGATCCTTACTATTGTCATTTTCCTCTACTTCTTTTGTATGTTTGTCACTCCCTTGTGACCTGCTATTTTGGGGTGCCTTGATAGTCGAAGCAGACCTTGTGCTGTTGAAGCTAGAGAGGTGAGCAGTCTAAGTCTGATTCCCTGTAAAGACTTCTCTGTTGATACCCACCCCTTGGCGCTCATATGACCTTATGCAGTTGCGAGCGCCGTAAAACACTCTACTATAAAAAAAAATTTCCACTCCTCAGATGTGAAGCCGTCCAATATTTTGCTCGACGACAAAGGCAACGTGAAGCTGTGTGACTTTGGCATCAGTGGGCGACTGGTTGATTCCAAGGCCAAGACACGAAGTGCAGGATGCGCAGCATATATGGCTGTAAGTGCATTTTAAAATTTGTTCTGTTAATCTTTACTAGCGCAATGTCAATCTACTTCCTCTATGTCAACTGCCAAGGCAAAAGTGTAGCATGTATACTGCTTTCAGAACATCTGTTACGGTGCAAAACCATTTTGATTGATAAAAAAATGTTGTTGTTTTTTTCTTTCTCTCTTTTTTGTTGTTGTTGTTGTAGTAAATCTAGTTCTTTTCTGGTTCTTGAATATCTCTTTAAAAGTTAAATTTTTTCAGTGCTTTTTTAGGTTGGATTTTTTATTGTGTGGCATTGGAGTGGAGCACAAGAATTTGAAATATATACTTTCTTTTTTTTTTTTTAAGTTCTGTAGTTCTCCACCTTATGAATTTGCATCATAAAATTTAGTCTGATGAATATTGTTTTTGTGAGTCTTTTTTTTTTTTTAAACAATTCTTTTAAAAATTTGGTTTGTAGGGACACTTTTTTTTTACAAACATTAGAATTAAATAAGGATTAGTGTTGTGGTCAAGTCCAAAGAGTTTAGTTAAAAGGAGTGAATTTGTGTGGTGTGAAAATTGTGTATGCATGGTGGAAATGATGAATGTACAGTCGACTGATACAGTGATTTTTGTTCTTCAGCCTGAACGTATTGAGCCTCCGGACCCAACTCGGCCAGATTACGACATCAGAGCAGACGTGTGGAGTCTCGGAATATCATTGGTAAAGCTTGCATAATATACGTAATAAGTCGTAATACAGAGTTGCCAGTTTTCCGGCTTTTTAAAATCCTTCTCTTAGAGGAGAAAGTAATTTCTTTACAGCAAGACCTTCCCCCGTCCATTACACACATCAATATAATGAATGCAGTTATTATTGAGTGATATTTTTTTAATATTTAGGTTTTTCTAATAGGCCTAGGGCTATGTAATAAATATTTTGGCACATGTTAATATCTTATCTAATTTTAATGAAATACTGCGCGTACCGCATAGAATTTTATACCAAAAAAATGTTCAAGGTCTTTTGGTCAGAGCCTGCTGGCAACCCTGGTAATATCAGAAAAAAATCCTCTAAGACAGGGGAATTTATTCAGTTATCAAGGGACGTAACTCAAACAATGCTCAACCGACTCCTAAAGGATAGCAGTTACCTACTCTGTAAGACCATCACCAAGAAACATGGGGGTAATTGTAGAAAATAAAGAAAACTGGAAACCGAGGGCTCTGATAATGGCAGTACCCCATCTTATTGATTTTGTCGGAAACACTTCAGTTCTGGCAGCGAGTGAGTTAAACACAGCTTGTAACACCTCTAATCTTTGCCACTCATAACCTAATTCTGTTGCAAGTGCCGTAAAACTTACTAAAACTAAAATCTTCATTCCCTGCACTAAATTGACAATTATTATTATGTTTCGGTTTGCTTTTTTATTTAATTTTTTCTTTTACTCAAACAAACAGAAGTGATAAAATACAACAACAAAGTAATTGACCCTCTACTCTAATCTTCAATACTCATATTAGAAAAACCCCAGGAGAGCACTTACGAGTCATGACTTGAGTGTGGTCAGGCCCCCAAGCGTAAGAGTGTCGGGTAGTTAGGGCCGAAACACCTGCCTGAAGGGGGTTCTTCCTCTGAAGATCTCCTGCTGTTTGCTAACCCCACGAGTTTTCTCCTACTGACCTAAACGTGTTGCAAGTGCCGTAAAACACTTCCTAAAACTGTAAAACTAAAGAAACACTTTTTATATTGCTGCTGTTTTTCTTCCGCTACAGGTGGAGTTGGCGACGGGAGAGTTTCCTTACAAAAATTGCAAGACGGACTTTGAGGTCCTGACGAAGGTGTTGCAGGAGGAGCCCCCACAGCTGGGCCCCGAGTTCACAGACGAGCTGCGCTCCTTTGTCAAAGACTGGTACGTCTACATCTTGTCAGTATGTTCATGTTTTTTTGTGCCTATAAATGGCTGCTTGCACTGTATGTTTCCCAGGAAGTTTACGGTTGTTTCAGAATGCTCTCATGTCTGCTGGGATAATAATCGTGTAGATTGTGAAGCGCATAGAGATTGCTGTTGAGCGGGGATTTGCGCTATACAAATGCTATCTGTTATTATTATTACTGCAGGTGTCTCTGTTTACAGTCGATCGTTGTTTGTGTGGTTGCTTCCTGGAGAGTTTGGAATCTGCAGGTTAAGAGATCAAAGGGTAGAGAGAGATATTCTATCGGATGTCTATCTTTTTCCAGCAGTGAAGTGTCCTACACAGTGTGGGTTGGCATTTACATGGAGATTTTGTGGCAGTTTGCCTGACAAATTATCTTAACACTTTGCCGCCACATCTTGCCGATTGGCGATGTTTACCACCCAGTTTCTTTGGATTTTCCCCAAAATATGATGGCAAAGTGTTAAATAGTGTGGAATGGGTTGTGAGATTTGAACTTTTTACAATCTGAGAGCTAGTGGAGGAATTCACATAATCTCCAGTTTATATGGTTTATTTTTCTGTCTCTCCAACAGCTTAACAAAAGATTGCAAGAGACGACCAAAATACAAGAAGCTACTCGTGAGTACACGTCTAATTGTTATAGTGCCACGCCCACTCGATATAGTATTTGTGACAGTGACGATCTCTGTTGATCTCATCAGGAATGTTGACTCTCTCTCTATTTCTCTCTCTCCCTCTCCTTCTCTCTCTCTCTCTCTCTCTCTCTCTCTCTCTCTCTCTCCCTCTCCCTCTCTCTCTCTCTCTCTCTCTCTCTCTCTCTCTCTCTCTCTCTCTCTCTCTCTCTCTCTCTCTCTCTCTCTCCCCCCCTCTCCCTCCCTCTCCCTTTCTCTCTCTCTCTCTCTGCTTCAATCTCTATATCGCTCTCTCTTTTTCACCTTTCCTTCCCACTTTTGTACTCTTTATTAAATCTTCAGCACTTATATGACCTAAATGTATTGCAAATGATGTTTAACTCTCTTTCTAAAACCAAACATCATTTATGGCCCCGTTCACAGGAACATCCCTTAATCAAGAAGTCGGAGTCTGAACATGTTGATATTGCTGCCTGGTTTGCTGATGTATCTCGACTCATGGAAATGAACAGACCTTCATGACAGGTAGCTTCTAGTCCTCCTTGACAAAAGATTGATGTTGTGACTTTTTCAATTTTTACTTTGATTCCTTGGATAATTCTTTGCTCGATCACACAGGTACAGATATGATAAGTGTGCTGCCAAAATGAGTTACTTCTCGGATTTGAGCCCTTTGGAAATAGGTCTATACATCAAGCTTATAGGTGAAGTTTTTACAATTCATAAATATGAAATAATGAAAGGCATGATATACTTAAAGAATCTGGCATCAATACAAAATTTTAAAATTTTGACTCTAGTGTTGATTTTTGGCCAATATAGATCTCCATTTGTGGATTGCGAGAAGTAACTCATTTTCTCAGCACGCCTCGCTATGTCAAAATGATGGGCACCGATTCTTGGAGACTGACCACATTGGTATCCATTCTGCAAATTTTCTCCCTTTTGTTTGGCTTGAGTTTGATAAAGATGATGTACATAGTAGTAAAAGATTAATTCCTAATGGAGCGTCTACATCATCAAATAATTGCTGCTTCCATTCCATGATTTGGGAACATTGTCGCTGTCAAATTCACCCATTGACGTAGGCCTTACGAATTTAAATTATTACGAAAGACCGTTTCATTGCCACATGACTTAACGTATAAATTTTGACCTAAATTATTTACAACTTGTAACGGTTTTCTTTCACTTTAAGAGAGATCAAATCTCTTGATTCATTCAGATGTCGGCTGAACTCTTTTCTGATTTAAAATTAATAAGATGAATATTTGGAGTGATTTTCTATTAATCAAAACACGTTTTATGTTACTGTTGTACATTATATTGTATTGTAAAGCGCTCAGAGCCTGTGAGCTTAAATCGGGATTGAGCGCTATATAAATGTGATTTATTATTATTATTATTATTATTATTATTATTTTCTCTCTTTGCAGGTGTGAGACATCTAAGCTGTTCCTTCAAGCCAGCATAACAGGGGAAGGGAGGAGGGAGGGCAAGGGGGAGTGGGGGGAGAGGTGGTGCCATGCTAGGCATCAGGAGAGTTTCATGAAGGGCTCGCTGCCACTTCTCTCTCTCTTTCTCTCTCTCTCTCTCTCTCTCTGTCTCTCTCTCTTCGGGTTAATTCTCCTCTCTTTATCTCAATCGGAACAAGGGTCAGAAGTTCAAATGCAGCTCATTTTGGTTTAAAAAAACCCATGTCGGCCGGATGATGTGGGTTCTCTGAGGGTGCGGTGGTTCCCTTTGCCGCCTCATGGAGTGCGTTATTGGGAGAAGAAATGTGGGGTGATGATGGCCGTATTTTCTTTCATTCTGTGTTTGGAGCACATTGATTTTTTTACTAATGAAGAATGCTAAATGAGCTTCTCCCTTCACGCTCTTCTGACTAGACTAGAAAGCCTTGTTGGCCCTTTGTGGCAGAAGGAGGTGATTGTAAAAAAATAAAAAGCGCTAGGGGCGAGTGCTGTGCTGTGTTGCGCTGCGCTAATCACTTACGCCGAAAGTTGTGGTCAGGATGTGGTGAGTTGCCTCGTAAGCTGAGGGGTTGATGTTCTTCAAGCGTCATACGCCGAACTCTGTAACTGTTCTGTAATGTCAGAGTTCCCCAAGTTGTTAAAATGAGGTGTCGAGGTGGACGTACTGACGGTAAAAAAAAATGCCTCAGGGATGGAAATTTTCCGTAAATTTACGGAAATCTGTAGTTTTGATTTGCTCCGTCATTTTCTGTAAGTGGGACCTGATGTCCTGTCTCCTTTCTCTTCGCGGAAAGTGCTTCTCTCTCTCACTCTTTCCTTCTTTCTCTTTCTCTCTCTGTTCCTGTCTCTTTATCTTTCTCTATCTCCCGTTCTCCCTGTCTCTCTTTATCAGCCCTCCTCCCGACACCCCTTCTCTCTCTCTCTCTCTCTCTCTCTCTCTCTCTCTCTCTCTCTCTCTCTCTCTCTCTCTCTCTGACTTTCAGTAAATTTTGTTGGACTGATCAGTTTTCATCCCTGAAAAGAGACAACTAGTCAGCAGCACTAGGAGGAGGGTCTGTGGTCTCCTTTAGGCAAAAACCTGACGAGCCACCCCAATCTGTGAGGCAGTGTGGGGAAATCAGGCGCTCATCAAAACAATGGAACTGAAGAAACTGGCATGTTTTATGCAGGTTTGGGAATTTTTAGCGACTTTATATTTTTTGGCTCCACACCTTTCATGCCCATTAAAGTATACATTTCTGTGTGGATTTTTATTGAAAAATGACGATTAAAGGCATAACAGATGTAAGTTTTAGGTTTCCAGGGACTCTCAAGCCTTGGAAAAAACAAAACTTTTTGCAGCCATTTTCTCGCTAACTTTACTTCTGAAACTAGGTGACCCGCACCTCCTTCAATCACCAATATCTTGACTTGTATCCAAAACAACAGGATATTTTTTTCATCAAAAGCAGGACAAATGGGCAGGCTTTAACTTTAAGATGATACCAATAACTCCATATGCCTAAAAATTGACGAGCGCCTGATTCCACCATGTTGTGACACATATAATTTTGTACAGATGGGGAAAACCTTTTTTTTAAAAAAAACACAATGCACTTTTTGGCTTTCTCTACTGAAGGTACACAAGTCGTCATCTCCTGAGGCTGGTTTGCAGCAGAAAATCTCAGTACGGAAGCTTGTTGTACATTTGTGTAGTTGTATTATATTGACAATGATTGTGTTTACATTCAAATGCTGTTGTTATCTAATTTTTAAAGGGTTGTCTTTTTTTTACTCAGTTTTGCAAAGTTTTCAGTGGTGGGGTTATTAGGTTTACAGGTGTATTGTTTTTGCAAAGTTTTCGGGGAGGGGATGGGTGGAGGGGCGGGAAGTTAAAAAGGTTTACGTATTTGATGATTAGAGTTGCATTATAAAATGGTTGTAACTGGCAATTTCTTTATTTTTGATAAAGGCTTAGGGCTAGGGGTGACCAGCAGGTGTCTGCTTTTCCTTTCTTGGGGGATTCTACGCCAGGGTCTTCAGGCGACATTTTCCTTCGGTCACCCATTCTGAATTGTCAGTGGCTTCGAGAAGTTAAAAAAACTGTTTCTTGTTGTACTTTATTCAAAATGCCACCTTAATAAATTGCTTTTTTTTCCGCATTGTTTACTTGCGGTGTGTGAGTGGGTGAGAGTGAAAGTTTTGTGAGAGAGAAACACTTGTCTGTTATGCTTTGGATGTGGATGTTCTCAGTTTGTTCTGCGATGCGAGTGCTTTCAACCCATTTCCTGTTTTCAGTGTTGATTATTATTATTATCACTATCACCGCTTTTGGTTTTCGTTCGTTTGTCATGACTACTTTTTTTGGGGGGGGATGATTTGTTGATGAGTATCATGAGGCATGCATGGAATGGCTTTCACTTTTTTGAGTTCTTTTATGCGACTGATTTCTGGTTGTTGTTTGTCACTCTTTCTGAATGGTTTCCTGAAGGCTGTTGTATGAAATAGCTGTCCCCACGGTTTTATGCAAAAAAAATTCTGAAATTATGCAAACGGAGCCCAAAAAATGTGAAATTATGCTATTTTCTGTTAATTTAAACAAAGAATGATTAAGGGAAAATAATCAGAAATTATGCAAAAAATTGCATAACAAAGAAAGTTTTGGAAAGTTTTGGATTGGAACCCACAGGGCAAGAGGTCAAGGGGAAGACCTCATGGAACTTGGAGAATAATCACAGAAATCGATGTACAGAAAAGTGGGAAGACATGGAATAACATCAAGAGGCTAGCCCAGGATAGAGAAAAGTGGGGGGGTGTTTGTCCGTGGCCTATACTCCTATACCCTGATGCAGGGTGAGAAAGGCAATGATGATGCAAAAAATAATCAAATTTTGCTTTAAATTATGCGGGGACAGAATTAGCTTTGGATTCTCTTTGTCTGAATCTGCTGACAGGTTTCTTTTCACTTTGTGCGTTTGTTTGTCATCAGGTTTGGAATATAAATGTTTGTATGGTTTGATATAAGGCCTTTATGATGTGTTGTTGTATGTTGATTTGAAAGTTAAAAAAAAAATGTTCTACACAAAAACAGGCCTGTGGTTCTTACTTAGTTCTTTTTGTAGTTTTGAGACATCTATTGGGGCTGGCGGGACTGTATACTGCTACCAGTACCAGTATGTATGTCACTTCTTTCCCGAAAGTGAAGACAATGTGTGGGTGGTTGGCAGGTGCTCTGGTGTGGTTTGTTCCTTCTTTCCTATTAAACATCTATCGTCTTTATCTCCCCTCCTTCTGTTTTGTGTTTGTTTCTCTCTTGTAACACCTCTAATCTTCTGGCGCTCATATGACCTTATTGTGTTGCAACTGCCATAAAACTCTCACTAAAACTTTTTTAAAAAGCTTCTACCAGTTTGTAATTTCTTCCCCTAAAGTGAAGACAATGTGGGACCTGCAGAAGTCCATTAGTAGACCCTATCGTAATCGGTGTACGAGAAGTTGATTTGATATATATAGCAAAATTATACTTGTACATATTTTTGAAATTGTAAATGTTTTAAGCTCTCATGGACACAAATAAGAACGGGGCCGACCCAGTGTGAAAGGAAATAATAATATCCCAGCAGACTGACTGATTGAGATACTGAACTTAATATGCACAATTTAGATCAGGGCCAATTACTTAATATCGACACAAATTAAAACAGGGCCAACCCAGCCTGTAGGTGGTTCGCGGGTGCTCTGGTGCGGTTTGCTTCTTCTTTCCTATCAAACATCTATCATCGATATCTCTCCTCTTTCTTTTTTATGCCTGTTACTCTCTTGTAACACCTCTAATCTTGTGGCGCTCATAAGACCGTATCTGTCCTCGTCGTTTTATGCAAGAAAAAATATGAAATTATGCAAACTGAGCCCAAAATGTGAAATTATGCGGTTCTTTTAATGTTAACAAAGAATGATAAACAGATAAAGGAAAATAATCAGAAATTATGGAAAAAAAATGTTCAAATTTTGATAAATTATGCGGGGTGCATAAAACCACGGGGATAGCCTTATATGCAGTTTCGAGTGCCACAAAACCTCTACTAAAACTAAAAACAACCCAGTCTGAGAGGGATATAATAATTATAATGTCCCAGCAGACAGACTGATGGAGAATAAAGTCTCCTCATTTGGGAACTGAACTCGCCTTTACTGCATACGGTGACGAAGCACCACACCGCTATACCACCACATATACATGCTAATGTAGTAGTAGCTTTCGGCTTGGTTGTTGGTTTTTTAATTAAGTAAGTTTTAGTTTTAGTGAGACTTTTACTGCACTTGCAGCACAATAAGGTCATAAAAGTGCCGGAGATTAGAGTACAAGAGAGTAACAAACACAAAAAAAGAAGGAGGAGAGATACAGAAAGACGATAGACGTTTGATAGGAAAGAAGAAGCAGAGCACCCGCCAACCAACCACCTGGTTGTTTTCATTAAGTGTATCAAATGGGGGGGGGGGGGGGGAGAAGGGGCTGGTTGATCTTTGTATCTCTTGCAATCTTTTCTAAAGCGGCTCTCGTGGCCTAGAGGCTAAGGTGCTCGCCTTTCATTCAAAGGTCCCGGGTTCGAATCCGGGGAGCGACGGGAAACATTTTCTTCTCTAAAATTGTCTCCTTTCACCTCCTTTCCTGCTCTCTAGCAATGTTCTGTTGTCTGCTTTTGTCTCCACTTTCTGCCTCCCCACCTCCTTTGCCCCCTCCTCTGGGCTCCTGACTCTTTCTGCAGCCTTTCTACTGCTACTCCTTGGCTCTTTCTTACTGTTGTCTTTCAAGTTGCGCACGTTAAAGATCCCATAGTGGTCTATAATCGATAAGAGTAGGCTTCGGCCGCCACCTGGGCAAAATTAAAAAATTTCCTACCAACTGAAAAAAGTTTAATGTGTCCTGCGCGGTCATATGATCTCATGCAGTTGCGAGCGCCGTAAAACACTAACGGAAAAAAGAAGAACCACAAAGCATGTTCTGTTTTGTTTTAGGGACACAATAACCAATGGAAATGCGTGCAATCATCAAATGAGCAACCCGTGTATCCCTACTAAACCTCAACATTGACGGTGCATACCGTGTAAGTCTGTTGAACGATACTCAGCCGTCCATGCTGATGAACATACCCAAGGAAAAAGGAGATCTCAAAGTTTGGGTTCAAGATGTTTGTGCAAGGCAAGTCATCTAAGATGTCAAGAGGTGGCAGATGAAATAATAGGGAAAATACACACGAATTGGAATATGGCATGGTGGTAGGAAAAGTTAGTTGTAAAACCGTCCGTGACACCCGCACAAATTAAAGAAAGAACAACAGAAGCATCACCTGTTTCCAGAAGACAGGCTTCCAAGGAATACCGCCGACAGAGCAGTAAAGGAAGGAACAGAGTGTGCAAAACTATTTTATCTATCAACACAACTGGTGGAAACAGTGGTACGTCTGAAATGCCTGAATGAACAGATCAGAACAGATTGTTCAGATGTTCTTCTCCAACTACAGAGACTGGTGTACCCGAGTCTATTATAAAACCCGGAAAGCGTGCAGGTGATGCTACTGTCACCAATCTTCGAGTATTGTAATAATCGTCCTTGTGGAACCTTCCTTTATGAACTACGGCTCACGGATGACTTTACACCTTTGCCTTTGCCAAGACGTGGCAAAATCCAACAGAGAAAGAGA